AACGGAAGGACGGAAGATTTGAAGATTTGCCTTCAAAGCAAATCTTTACAGAAGTGCCAAGACACGGATCACAACCCTGGAGACGCACTTTTCCAAACCATCAACGTGCACAAACAAAATTTAAACCAGGAAGTAAGAGCATCACACATACACACACACACGCAAACATGCATGCATGCCAAGAATGAGGAAATTTGGGCAATGCTCAGGGAGGGAATCATCCCTCTGACTCTCGGGTCCAAGACAGGTACAAGGGTGTGTGTTTTTTTTCCACTGCCCGCTTTGCGTTTCCCTTGCGTTTTGGCGTCATGCCTTACTAGTGTGGCATCCGACCCCACACACTTGAAAACAAATGACTCAAGTGCCTATTTCCACACACCGGGAAGAAACGGCCCGGCCTGGGTGGGTGGGGAACTCTGTCATTCCCTATCATTTTAGAGACAATTGTGAAATTTTGTCAGATGCTCCGATGGGCTGCTGAGTTAACCATTTCTTCAAGGCCCGTTTCTGTCAATGTTCTGACCCAAACCTTGTTCTAAGGAAACAAACACGAAACAGAGGTAACAGCAAAACCTTTTAATGATTCTTTACGAATTCCATCCCTTCCCGGTTAAAAGGCGGTTTCAAATTAAGTGTCTCTGATAAGAACGAGCCTTGCCAAGGTGCTGCAAGGCTGCCCAGAACACTAGACGAAGTTGCCAATAAATATTTCAAACACAAAGAGTCTCCGAGATATTCCAAACATCCACAAGGCTGGAGTGCAAAAACTTCTTTGCTTCCTGCAAAGAACTCCAGTTTCTCAGCTGGCTTTTATCCCTTAAGGGAGGGGCCATCATCTTGCAGCTTTACTCCCGAGTCACCCGTGCTGCTGCAGCTGCTCTTTCCTTCGAGCAGCCCTGCGCGCACGCACACTGAGCACAGGCTCCTCGGGGGACTCTTCCTCATTGCTGCCAGACTCCACAATCTCCGAAGGCTCCACTCCCTGATGGTCCTGGCCCCATCCCTGCATCACACGCAGGCCCCTCATCTGAGTCCTCGCTCTCCGAGGCCTCAGCCATCCACACCTGCTGCCGGCGAACCACAACACACAGCCCCTAGTCTAAGCCAAGCCAAGCAGAAACAAAACTCCTTTGGCCCTTGCGCCATAGCCTTCAAAACAATTTCAAAGTAGACTGCCTCTGAACAAGGAGGCTCTGTTAGCGCCTATCCAGGTCACCCCACCAAAGGTGCTTTTTCAAAAGGTTTTTGCCTTGAAGGCATTTTGCTTCGCACCCAAGAAGCTTCTTCGGTTTTGACTGAGGTTCGCTCAGTTCAGTTGAGTCAGAACCGAGGAAGCTCCTTGGAGAAGAAGCAAAATGTTTTCAAAGGGGAAAAAAACAAAAAACAAGTCCAATTGCCTTTGGGCCAAGTTCTTTTTTTAATTTTTTTAATTGAAAATAAACATTAAAAATATTGAATGTGGTCTTCTTTGACATATGTTTCAGTCAAAACATTTTACATTAGAAAAGATCAAAAGGTCTAAACATACACACACACACTTAAGCTTTGTACCATTGTAGTTCTTATTCTTATACCCCAGGTATAAGGGCTCTCACCCCATTTCTATTTCATCTTAAATTCTTATCTGTGAACTCCCTTTCATGTCCCTCCAATAATAGAATTTGCTCCATATTTTATAATATTCTGATTTAACTTGTTCTTTCAATTCTAGTGTCAACCCATCCATTTCGGCGCACTGAAAAAAATCTTATCAATTATAGCATTTTCACTTGGGATTTCATTTGCTTTCCAATTTGGGGCAAATAACATTCTTGTTGCCTTGGTTACGTGTATAATTTAATAGGTATCAGCTTTGCTAAAATTCTGTCCCTTTGGGACGAATTCTATCAATCTGCTTTTATTTCCAGGACCAAATGGATCCTGGACCCCAAAGTTTATTATTAGCCTTTGGGTCTTCTCTAAATTATCTACAGACCACAAAATCCAATTAAAGTTTGTAAAAGTTTTTTTTTAATTAAAAAAATGTGTTTCAAAATCTCTGCCGATCAGTTGCTTGCTTCTCTTGCGCTCTTCGTTTGCAGAGTGTTAATTAACAGCCAGGCCAAGCAGAGAATTAAGGCATCAAATTATCTCCCCTCCTCAAAAAATACATTATAAAGTTAATCATTGTTAGTCAACTCCAGGACTACCCAGAGAAAAAGCAAATGTAACTTCTCACTAACAAAGAGACTTATTTTATTCAAAGGCACACAAACTGGGTTTTTTTCCCCTCCAAGGTTTTTGTGATTCCAGAAAGACAATGTAACAACATCACAACCCTGGAATCTCTGGGAAAACAGATTGTTCTTCTGTTTGTGGCGCAGCCTTCCTGCACTTTAGAAAGTTAACCCATCAAGATTTGGGCTTTCTGTGGACAGGACAAAATTCAGCTCCCTAGGAAGAAATTGTGGGACACCCAAAGTAGGGAGAGAAGATTGACAGCCCCCCCCCGTTTCTCAAGCTTGACAGCTTTGAAAAGGGGGGGGGGAAGGAAATGGACTTCAACTCCCAGAATCCCCCAGCTCTAGGGAATTCTGGGTGTTGAAGTCCCCACTTCTTCAAGCGGCCAAAAAAGGATGAGAAACAACGTTTAGAGCCACAGTTTGGAGCGCACAAAAGTTTGTTTTTGGCCACGATGAGTGCAAACCATCATTGGAAGTGATGCAAAGCAGTTTATTCCCTTCCTAACTGGGAAACTGCCCTGACACACCTGTGTTACACCAGAAGCCCTGTGCAAAAGCACACACAAAAAGGTTGTCCCTTGGAGATAGTCCAAGAGAGATCTCCCTCCCTCCCTTTTTCTGTCCCCCCTCCCTCTCTCCCTTCCCCCCTCTCCCTCTTTCCCTGCCTCTCTCCTTCTCCCCCTCTCCCTCTTTCTCCCTCTCCCTCTCCCCTTTCCCTCTTTCTCTCCCTCCCTCCCCATCCTCACTACCCACCCATCCCTCCCTCTTTCTCTCTCTTCCTCTCTCCCCCTTTCCCTCTTTCTCCCTCTCCCTTCCCCCCTCTCCCCCTGCCTCTCTCCTTCTCCCCCTCTCTCTTTCTCCCTCTCCCTCTCTCTCCCACCTCTCTCCCTCCCTCTTCCTCTCTCCCCCTCCCTCTTTCCCTTCCTCCCCCTCTCCCTTCCCCCCTCTCCCCCTCCCTCTTCCTCTCTCCCTCCTGCCCCCACCCCTCCATCGCACACACATCGCTTCCTGCAGTTGTGCGCCTGGGATCTGCTGCGGGGCACGTGCCGGGAAACCCAGGGCTTGGGAGGCCGCCCACGGGTGACCCTGGAGCCATTTCCCCAGGCTGCTTTCCCCACGGCTCAGGAGGGAGCCTGTGGGCCTACCTGGCAGGGGTGTGTGTGTGTGTCAGGAGGATGGACACACCTCCCACCAAAGCCACCTGCCACCCGCAACCGCCAAGCCAAGGCTCGTTTGCCTGGGGACTTTGCAAGTCACATCCCTCGTTTGCACGCCTGGGGTGTGTGTGCGTGTATGTTTTTGTGTGTGTCTCTCTGTGTGTGTGTGTGTTCCGCTTTCTTGGCCGCGGCTCTCGACGCCCCTTCTCCCCCCCCCCCCCCCTCCCTTGGCAACCCCCCGCCCCCCCCCCCCCCCCCCCCCCCCCCCCGTTTGGCCCCCCCCACGGCCCGGGGGCCCCCCCCGGGGGGGGGGGGAACCCAGGCATCCCACCCGCCCACCTCCCGCGTCCCTCCGACCCGCGACCCCCTCGGCAAGCTCCGATCCCCTCTCCTGCCCCAAAGGGGATCGGCGCTCCCTCCGCACCTGAAGCGGAACGAGGTCCCTCCCCCCCGCCCCGCTTGAGCAGGGGGTTGGGCTAGAGGACCTCCAAGGTCCCTTCCCCACTCTGCTTTATTCTGTTTCCCTGGCCAGGCTCAGCCTCGACTTTTACCTTCAGGTTAACGGCGGGGATCTCCATACCGCTGGAGCCTCGGCAGCTACCGCCGCCTTCCCTGCTTCCTCTTCTCCTTTCCCGGCCGCCCCGCCCCCGCCTGCCTCCCTCCCTCCTTCCTCCTCCTCCTCCTCCTCCGCCGGGAAGGGGCAGCCTCAAAGTCCGGCCCGCCTGCAAAGCGGAGCCACTCCGGAGCGACGCGTTCCCGAAGCGGCGAGCCTCTGAGCTTGTGCAGAGTGCTCCATCCCTTCTCTTTCCCTCCCTCTCTCATTCCCTCCTCCCTCTTTCCCTCCCTCCTTCTCCCTCCCTCATTCCCTCCTTCTCCTCCCTCCCTCTTTCTCTCTCTGCCTTCTTCCCTCTCCCTCCCTCCCTCCTTCCCTCCCTCTTTCTCTCCCTCTCCCTCTTTCCCTCTCCCTCCTTCTCCTCCCTCATTCCCTCCCTCTCCCCCCCTCCTCCCCCCTCCCCCCTTCCCCCTCCTCATTCCCTCCCTTTCTCTCCCTCTCTCCCTCCTTCCTTTTCTCTCCCTCCCTCCCTCTTTCCTTCCCTCCTTCTCCCTCCCCCCCTCTCTCCCCCTCCCTCCCTCCCTTCCTGGGAATCAGCCATTGTCACATAGTAACATTGAGATGAATAACATTGTTAATTAACCATGGCCCATTCATTGTAGTGACAATTGTATTGGTTATACCAAGTCCTAATTGTAGTGCTTAAGAATATTTACAATATATTTTTATTTATATACAAAATATTTATTTTTTATATTTACAAAAATTATTATTTTTTATATTTATGTATATTTACCAAAAATCTATTTACATATTATATTTATATTTAATGTATTATTGTTATATTTATAAGCTTTTTATATTTATTTATATTTTTATATTTATTTATATTTACAAAAATTATTTATATTTACAAAGTACTTTTATTTACAAAATATTTTTATATTTACAAAATTTATTTATTTTTATATTTATATTTACAAAAATATTTACATATTATATTTATATTTTTACATATTATATTTATATTTACAAGCTTTTTTGTATTTATATTATTATATTTATTTATATTTACAAAAAAAGTTATATTTATATTTACATATTATATTTATATTTATGTATTATTGTTATGTTTATATTTACAATTTTTTATATTTATTTATATTTACAAAATACTTTTATTTATGCAAGTCTGTATTTACACTCACATCCATCCCACAATGTTGGATGAATCTGCAGGGCCATAAATCACCAGCAGCTGCATTTAACACACACACACACCACACCCCCCCCACCAGATAATGTTTTTTCAGCCTCTGTTTTCAACCCACCCAGCAGCTTATGGAAGTGCGTCAAGGAAAGGAGACCCAGAGGTGATGTTTTGAGAGGCGAAACGATTTAATTTGAAACTGAAACACGCAGGCTTGGACACAAAAGTTAGTCTCAGACAGGGGTGCAAAAAAAGACAAATTCAGCAAGAGGGAAACCCCCCAAATAAAGGGTTTTTTTTTTCTTCTTCTTTCACTCGTGTGCTGTGAGTCAAGTTTCTAGACGTGGTGAGTTTTTTGTTTTTAAACACAGCTAAACCCCCACAGCAAACAAGGTCAGTGCTTGGTGATTTTTCAAGAGTGTTTGACATTCCCGTCGTTTCATAACCATTCAGTTTTCCAGCTTTTCGTGTTTTCTCAAGGAATACTTGGCCTGCGAGAGGGGGCCTGTTGCGTCTCTGGACGAGACCCTGGCTAAACTGTTCAGTCTTCCCGCCTCCCCCTATTTTTTCTTTTCTTTTGCAAATCCTCTTGGGCTCTCCTTTCTCCGCTTCCGGCCTCTCCCAGGACAAGGAAGGAGCTACCGCAAAGAGAAACAGCACAGATACTCCAACAGAGATACTCCAACCTCAGGAAGAATTTATTTCAGAAAGTTTTTTCCCCCGCTACCCCCTTTGATTCCAATTGTGCGTTTGAGGCCAGCCCACAACCAAAGTTATAAATTAACTGTGTCCACTTTGGAGCCCCCTCCCATTAGTCTCTCTCTCTCTCTTTCAAGACATTAAGGAAAGACCCCTGATCAGCATCCACAGAATCTGGCTCCACGCAGCGGCCTCTTCGTCGGACGACTCTGCGGTTCCGGTGGAATTTGGCGTAACAGCGGAGGCCTAACGTGAGAGAGAAAAAAATGGAGCCAAGTTCAAGGGGAAAAATGAGGAGGACAATGCCACCAACCCCTGGGTCTTTATACCACCTGTCCCGAGAGAAACTTCTCCAAGTACCTTCGGTGCACATACAGTTGTCGTAACATTTGTTGTTAAGCCCACGGTTGTGCAGCTTGCAGAGGTGTTCGCGCAAATCGCAACAGCTACCTGGGTTGGGGACAAACGACCGGTTTTAACACACAACCCAAACAGGGGTGGGTTTCCTATTTGTTCTCAGGGTGTGCTTTGCGCGCCCCCACAAGGCTCCAACACCGCCATCGGTATCAACGCTGGTGAGCTGGATAAGGACTCCACGTGAATGTGTGTGTTATTATTGTTGGAAATGAATCCAAATAACAAAAACTTGGCTCCGTGAAAACACAGAGAATTTATGGTTAAGCTGTTTGCAAAGAGCGGTAGAATCCCTGCTGACCTCAACGTGAAGTTTGAGCCAAGAACCACACCTTAACATTTCAATACATTATATTTTATAGTTCTTCTATCCCGACACGCCTCCTCACGCCCCTCCTACATCGACCCAGTGACCGAGTACAGCTAATCTGAGGTGCCTTATGGAGAGCACATCCTTTGATCCCTCCCAATGACCTCCCACCACATCTTATCTTATTTGGCATTAAAAAATGGTCCTTCAGCAGGGCCCCCGTTCTAACGGTCTGAGAGCAAAGAAATATCTATTCCTAACACCACACTTGTTCCATATTAATGTTCCATTCAGCACAACTTCGTAGAACATGCATCTCTAACACATTCACCTATGCAAAGTAGAAGTCTGGTAAACTTAAGCAGATGCTTTGAAAAACAAAATCTAACTTCAATTGATTAAAGAAAGTTAGGGCAATGGTTTATTTCTCCTCATATTATCCTCCTAATGGATCTTTTGTTATGTCAAATGTGTATGTGAATGTCCTTGATAGTTTGAGATACCTACCGATTTTTGGAGGAAATAGGGGTGGCATTACTTGATACAGGAGGAGGTAATAGATTTCAGGTCCATGTTTAACAATGAGTAAATGCATTAGAAAATATATTTAGTAAATGTAATACTATAATATACTATTCTATTCACCTACATTTTATTTTTGAATTTTCTTATTTCTAACATTATTAAGATATTTAATTGTTAACTGCATAAACACGAAATAGTCCATTATAGGATTACTATTAAGGATATACCCACAGGTGGCACACAGAGTCATTTGTGTGGGCACGCAAGCCCCAGCCAAACTTACCTGCACTGCGCATGTGTGCGCCTCCCAGCTGATTTTTCGCCTGTTTGAGGCTGAAAACAGGCACTTCCGGTATTTTCAGAAGGCCTGTTTTTTGGGCCTCCTGCAGAGGCTTCCCTTGAGCCTCAGGGAGGGCAAAAATGACCTTCAATGGGCCAAAGATCAGCTGGGAGGCATGCGCAGTGCAGGTAAGCGGGTGGGGCGGGAGAGTTGCACGCGCATGCGCAGGGGCGTGGAGTGCATTGCATTATGAGGGCCAGCACACATGCATGTTTCCCATCACTGGGATATACAATTATTAACTGTAAATATGACCATAAATATGAAAATTAATATAATTATAATAAATATGAACTTAATATTTTATTATAGGATGATTGTTAAAGATGTATAATTGCTAATTATAATAAATATGGAAATTAACAGCGTACAGTAGAAAAAGATATGTGGAATCGGATAAACAAAAATAATATAGTGAAATATGCTATTAGTTAAAGGTGATTATATTATTGCTAGAATAATTCGCTGAATTATCATTAGGGTGAATATTATTTTGTGGTTATACAACGAGATCAGAAAGAGACTTTGTTTTAAACATGCTGGTGGCACAGCCAAGAATCAAAAGGGGGATAAATAAGAGAGAATATAAATTAACATGAATTTATGAATGGTTATAAAAATTATATATTTTGTTAAAGACTGCAAATATGGCCAGTAATATATATTTATAATAAAAGAAGTGATGTTAAGAATATAGAGACTGACATAAAAATAACACATGGGAATTTGGAATAATCAGGATAGATCATTTGTATTAATATTGATTATCAAGTTAACAGTTTTAATATGAAATCATTGTCATGTTTGTTCTAAAACGTAAAATACCCTGTAACCACACTGTTCACACAATGATATGTTTGTAGAAGAAAGAAAAAAATTAAAAATGTATTGGGAAAAATATATTTGTGAGCTGCACTATTTTTTAGCTCAGCTGAGGTGTGGCAATGCGAATCAGCTGAGCTAAAAAACAACGGAATATAGCAGAGGTAACGGCAGGTGCAGGTGGGCGGGGCCAGCCAGAGGTATTTGCCGGTTCTCTGAATTACTCAAAATGTCTGCTACCAGTACGTCAGAACTGGTCCGAACTGGCTGTTAGGAATGTAAGTCACATAACAGTTGGGTTGGAAAATATATAAACCAGGATAGACATTTTAATACTGTCTCTTTAAGGGAATGCTAAAATTATAATTGGATGTGGTTCCCCAAAACGGCCATAAGATGGAGCCAGAAACCTGGTTTGTCTGTTCTGTTGTTGCTGAGAGTGTTGCTGCTCCTTAATTTCCCTATTGACTGTTGCTGATCGTTGTTATTCTTGGATTTGATGCGAGTCTTTTACTGAACTGTTTATGATACTGGACTTTGTTATTGGATTATCCCTGGACTGAAAACTGACTGCTATAACCGTGTATGACTTGGACTGTGTTTGGACTTTGCTTAACCGTTTACTGGAAGTAAAACCTACATTTTACTATACAGTGTAGCTGTGTGCTGTGTGCGTGTTATTCAACATTGCTCTCACTACGTCTCCTTGTGTGCAGTCATTCTCCTAATGGGGAATTACCTCAACACCGGCTAAATACCGCCTCTGAA